TTTTTATTAAAAAAATTAAACTTTTTAATAAAAACACAGGCAAATTTGCCTGTGTTACAATTTAAGGGATAAGGTCCAATATTTCACACTTCTAATATTGACTAGAGTCTATCATAGTCTCCTTTATAATGAGTTTTAAAGTGGCATTTAATTGTACTGATTTCAGTGGTTTTAATATACTAGGTGTGACATAATTTGCAAAAGCAAACTTCTTGTCTGCAGACTAGCTAAAATAGGTCCAAAAAGGATATATAGTTTTTTGTTATTTCAGAGAACATTGTTTTTGTTCTTCTGAGTGCTGTTCATGTTCTTCAATAGCCTGTTCTCAATCTTCATTATTAGTTTTTGCTACACCTTTAAAACTAGTTTCTGCTATATCTCTAGCATTTGTTTCTGTTGCTAGCTAATTATCTAAATATAAATCTACAATAGACAAAGAATCATCATCATCAAAAACAGGTGTAAAATTTTCTTGAGAAAAATTATTGTTTATATTTTCAAGATCAAAATTCATTTGAAAGATTTCATCTAAAGACATTTTGTAATTTTTTTTTTCTTATTTATATGAAAAATTTTAAAGTGAAGGTTTTTAAGGCATAAGAGAAAACAGATCATGCATTGTAAAAAAAAAACAATAATCTCTAATACCAAATTAAGAAGAATAACATTTTTGATATTCGATGAAAAAAATTTTTTTATATCAAATACTATGCATAAAAAAAAAAGATGTTTGCTTTTAAAAAAAAGTAAATCAAAATTTTTTTTTTTTGCTTTTAAAGGTAATAGTTTGCAACCTATATACATATAGACATACAGATAATATGATGTAGTATAAAATACAGTCTAACTTCACTATAATCACACCCCTCAGGATAAAGATTTATGTGATTGTAAAGAGAATTTTACTAAGATGTGCTTATAAAAAAGTTTTTTTCCTATATGTTTATAATAGTTGGTTTTAAAAATAAATGTGCTTATAAAGAGAATTTTTATATAATGTGCTTATATAGAGGGTAACTATAGAGAGGTTTGACTGTATTTCTTTTTTTTTTTAAAAAAAAAAAATAAGCTACCAGTAAATTAAAATATGCTAGGAGCCTTGTACGTACGTACATCCTTTTATACATTATTGCTCTTTTACAATAGTGTGATCTTTTATAATTCCAGATGAATATATTAACAGGAAAATTTACTTGTAAGAACGTGGAATTTAACGTATTAAGATAATCATCGGTGAGGTGTGGCGGCTTAGTGAAGTGGTTAAGTCGTCACCCTCTCCAAGTAGCAGGTCTAGGGTTCAAATCCCACGGATGATGAAAGTTTGAAAAATAGGCTTGCGTTATGGTAACAGATCTTCATTAAGTTGGGGCTTAGATTAACCTGTA